GGTAATCGGACATTGGGAGATGCATGCACGTGAGCCGGGCGTGTACCTGGCGCTGACACTGCCGGGGCGTCTCAGACCTCAGGACGCTCGCTTCTCCCGCGTCCCAAGCCGACGCTGAACCCCCGGGCCCGGCTGACTCACTCGTACTGCTTGACGGCGGCGCCGCAGTCCACGTTGTACCACCAGTCGCAGGTCAGCTCGTACTGGTTGAACAGCGTGCCGTTGGTGCAGAGGAACGAGGCGCCGGCGTAACCGTGCCGGTTGTCCTCGCCGCAGATGTGGTACGCCTGGTGGGACACGTCCGAGGGTGGGCAGCGTCACAGGTGTGCGTTGTCAGCAGTGGAGCCGTGTCCGGAAGTTAGACCGACACAGCGTGTGCGCTGGCCGGCTCTCAGGGCTCGAGGAGTCCAGTCCAGTCAGCGTGTGGTTTGCGTCGGCTACAAACGCTGGCAGTGACGCAGTAAGTCGGGACCATTCACCGGGTGCGATACGGACGGTAGGTCGGGACCAGTCACCGGATGGGATACGGACAGTAGGTCGGGACCAGTCATCGGATGGGATACGGACAGTAGGTCGGGACCAGTCACCGGATGCGATGCGGACACAAACATCACTTGATTTCTAATTCCCTTTCTTTCTAAATCTTTCATCACCGTCACTCGAATGGTGCGATGGCCGCTTTGTGGTGAAAACATTCGAGGCGTAATTAGGGAGTGGTTCTTCGGCCGAACATCGTAAAAGTGGTTTTCTCTCCCCACTGCGATGTCGTTTTAGGCGATTGGATGGTCAGACAGTAGAAAAAAAGCGTTGCTATTATCGCAGTGTTGTCCCCCTCCTCTGTCTTCATGTCATATTCATGTACGCTGTCTTTACAATGCTGATACATGCAAGCTCTCGTCTATGTAAATCTTGGGCCAAAAGTTCACCGTGCAAGGGCATCGCTCACGCTGTGCGAATGGAGCGTAACATATCAGGCCGCTGTAGCTCTTAAAACACTGGCACACACTGATGAACAGTAATGTCGGGCGACGGATCTTTTGGACAATATTGCAACACAACGGACAGATGCTGAGATTGTGGACATTGTTGCGATCACCCGCTGAATGGCCCCTTTCGTGGCACAAATAATGCTTCTAGGAAGCACATCCATAGCGACCCACGGACTCATCTGACCACAGACATTAACGCTGCCCCAGATCAAGACCGAGACGCGTCATGCACTCTGGCAGCCCGACCGGCGGCAGCGGCGCCGACGTACCTGGCAGCCGGTCTCGGCGTCGGCGTAAAGGCCGGGCCGGTACGGCACCTGATCGCACGTGAAGCCCGTCTCCGGCACCTGCGGGCACGGCGGCGGGCGCGTCAGCGCACATCCCGCCCGCGGCGGCACGGCCGAGCCGCGCGCAGCGCCCGGGCCCTGAGGCCCCACTGCCAGTCACGTGGCGTGGAGCGAGTCCAACCCGGAACTGTGTCGTGCTGTTGCAATGGTGCAGTTGTTACGGGCGGAATGCCGGGTGTTGTTGCGTTCGCGCTAGTGTACATTCCTTGCATGTCTTATACGGCAATTGTGAGGCTTGCTGAGAAGCTTATGTCTCGGCAGCTCTGGCCGAATGAAGGGGATCTGTATGGCTGTGAAAGCTTCTGGTCCGTGAACTTTGAAGTTATCGTGCATGAGGTCATTATTCGATTAACCTGGCGCGCAGTCGCGATCCGCGGGAGCTCAGACTGCGGGGCGGGGCAGATTGGGCGCGTGCCCCGTCTGGTCCGGAATACCGTCCAGAGCGTTGGTAGTTCCCGAGCTCCGTATCGTTCTTCATCGGCTTACCGTGTAGAGCTGTTAGCATAGCTGGCTTATGGGCTACCCAACATAGGCGTGCCATTTGTAGGGTTTCCGTGGTTATTGGGGCAGTGGTGGTTGATGGAGTAATCTTTATCCTAGGACCGGAGTATGTTCCACGCTTTTTCGCGGTTGGTGTTGACGCATATCCTTGCCATCGATCTACGTCCGGACTCTCCGGCCCTGTCTTGTGCCATTGTGTCTTAGATTGGACAATCATGTCGGGATTACCCCCAGGCGTTCGTTCGCACCTTGTCACAGGGCGACTGGTCCTGCCCGACATTACCCCCCTCCCCTTATTCGTTGTAAATGCACATCGGGTGCTTTTGTCCCATATTATCCGACCATCCTTGCTATTCTGCTGGAGCACGTCGGGGGCTTTGTCCGACATCGCACTTTCTTTGCGCCTTCCTTACCGTGTCTTAGCGGTGCCCTGCCCCAGGTGCGCCCGCGTCGACCGGTGCCCCCCCCCCCCCCGCCCCTCCTCCTCCCGGATTGGGTGGCCGTGTATCGCGCTGTCCCTCCCCCGGGCGTCCTTACCCGCGTCGTAGAGTGGGTAGTCCTGGCCGGGCTGGCCGGGGATCTTGCTCAGATCCTGGACGGGGCGCGCCGCCGTAGCGCGCCTCACTCATGCCGTAGCTGGCCTCGGGGGCCGTGTACAGCACCGGTCCGGCAGGGCTGCAGCTTCTTCACCTGCCGCGCACACGGATGACACGTGTGACACACAGCGACACGGTCTCGCATCATAGGAGCCGATCATCCGCTCGGGCTTCTCGACAATCTTATTTCGGTTGCCTCCAACAGCCGTGCCGGTTAATAGCCAACGTTTCACTTCACTCAAAGGGTCACTGAATACAGAGACAGAGAATAGACGTGACAGAGCAAATTGTCGGTGGTTGGACTACGACAGCCCCAAGATCATGACACGCATGAATGTGGCCGTCCTGGCCCGTCCATAACCCGTGGCCTTTATATATGCCCACAATTTCGCCGTCCATGCCATCACCTAACCAACCTCGTCCCCGGCGTACTCTCGTCCCGTTTCTCGTCGGCCTCACCTGCTTGCGTTCGCGGGGCACGAAGGGCTTGGGCACAAACTTGGGCCTGGCGGGCTGGATGGGCTCCAGGATGGGCGCAGCCACGAGCGGTCCGTTGTAGTTGAGGTTCGGGTCGAAGTAGACGTCGTAGTCCTCGGGGTTCTCCACCTTGGGCTTGTCTGCCGGCCGGATTCGCCTCGGCACCTCGTCACGGTACAGGGTGTCGCCATTGTTGACGACGGGTGGCAGCACGCCCTGAGGCAGGGGACAATGTGTGACGAGGTCGCTTGGTCATTGGCTTATGCAGCTTGGCGGGGGTGAGACGGCGGGTATGCCGGACACGAGACGGGCATTACCCAACACCGCGTAGGTGTAGTAGTAAAACGGGGCGTAGAAACAACACCTGGAAAAGTGTCCAGCTCACATTGAGCCAGACCAATCAGGCACGCATGTCGATGCCATTGTCAAGTTCTGAGACGAACTCACCCCGGATCTGCCGGGGGGCGTCGACCACAGCTGAGGGACACACAGCGGGGTCACGGACCCATAAGCAGCGGGGCGGCCTGGGTCGAGGTCAACACGCCATCGCACGCTCGCACACCGCCGAGAGACCGCAGCTGCTAGCAGCCTGTGGTCGCCGCTTGCCGAAACGTCTCGCCGTTGGCATGTTCCGCCGGCAGTCAAGGGCGCGCGGCCCGTGGTTCCCACCGCCGCGCTTAACGACGCCCGTGCCGGCCGGATCCTGGAACGACCCTTCGCCCTTCTCCCGGCGCCGCCGAGAACGCCCGCTCACTTTTCTCGCCACGTCCGAGCCCGTCAGCCGCAGAAGTCTCCCATGTTTACGGCTATGGTATGGCGCTGACGTGATGGGTTTAGTTTCTGTAAGCCACTTCACCGTGGGAGTGGAGGCGACAGGTGTCGGGAGAGAGGGTGCAAACATGCGTCATCTGATGAGCTTCGAAGAAGACAGCGATGCAGTTGTCGTCCTTCGCACGCCTTGATGAATGTTACCTTGCTGGAAGGCTCCAATGCAAGGTGTTGGATTGGGGTCGTATCGGATGAAAGGTGTTGGATCGACGTCATATCGAATAAAAGGTGTTGGATCGGCGAAGTGTCGGATGGATGACAGGTGAGAGGTGCATCTGAAGAGTGCAGTAGGAACAGTAAGGGGAGATAAACCAAAATGGTTATCTGAAACTACTGCATAACTCTCCCTCGCGCACTTTTCCCTGGATAAATACAGACTGGTCGTGTGTGATGATGCAGAAATTATCATCTCTGTAGATGCTTGGAGCAAGGCACAGTGGTTCCTTTCCACCCCCCAAAACACCATTCGATGGCAAATATACTGCTTACGACATGAACGTCGTGCAGCACCCACGCGCAGCGGCTGAGAACGGTTGCAGAGAAGCATGCAATGTTCGCCGACGCGAGCGGCGGAACCCTTTCGCTTTCGTCGGAGCGGCAGCTGCCTGCCGCGTCGCCACCGTCCTCGCCACGGTTCATCGGCCGTCGGCGGCGCCCGCCGCAGCCGCCGCAGCTCCGGCCGGCCGACGACAACCGGGTGCCGCGCGGAGAAAGGCTGCCGCAGCGACACATGTCGCCGGGCGCGGCTGCCGGCCGGCACGTGGGCGTCACGTCGGTCCGCGCCGGCCGGCCGGGTGCGGCGCGCGCCCGGCTGTATCCGCGACGCGGCCCGGGTGGAGGGCGCTCGGGCGTGACCGGCGGGGCGCCGGGCCGAGGACAGGGCGGTCCTGTCTCTGGCTGCTGTGCGGCCCCGGGCTGTTCTCTACTGGTCCTATCAGCCACCGACGATGCGTCACCGACTGCCGTCAGAAATGGGTCGATCAGGTCGCCGGATTGCTGACGGCGGTTGGCGACTGCCCATGCATTCGTCCGTCACGCGATTGGCGGGCTCACGAGACCGGTAGATGCCATTGTATGCGAGAGTCGGGCGCACAGCCTTCTGCCACGCCCGTCTAAGTTTCCTTGCGTCACATTTCTCAGCGCAGTTTTACCGCAACGCGTTTCTTAGCCGCGTGCCCTCCGCTGGCGTGGCCCCCTTCTCTGACGGCACCGTCCGGACCGGACCTCGCGTCCCAAGTGCGCCAGATACGGATCTGGCCTTGACCGACACCGAGCTATGGCCGGTGCTCGAGCGCTCTTGTCCTGGCGCCTGGGACCCGCCCAACAACGGCACGGGGGGAGGGGCGGCGGGTGCGCGCGTGCTGTGTCACCACCTGCTGCGGAGCAAGGCCGGTATCCCCGGCGCGTGCGAGGTCAGGTTGGGGAGGAAAACAGGTGCCGCGCTGAGTCAGCGTCTGCCGCCGACGCGGTTGATAGATGCTATATTCCGTTCGGCGCTGCGTGGGCGCTGGTTGCGCGTGTACTCCCGGGTTCAGAGCGATGTGTTCGCTACAGTTGTCATTGCTGTGATCAAAGGGTCGCTTCTAAGGCATGACGTCGTGAGATTTCGTATTTCGGAAACGATGATCTGCAGCTTTTGTGCGACGTGTTTGAAATAAATAGCTATGATTTCGGCCGCCTGCAAGTCAAATATTGCAGCATGCATATCAGATGTGAGAAAACGCGCCGTAACTAAGCCGGTTAACTGGTACTCACTGAAGTGTATCACTACACAACACAAATCACAAGTAGTTGTGAGGGTGATTTCGTTTTCCCAAGTTAGCTCTTTAATTTCAGGTGCCACTGATCACGGGATTATATGCGGTGAACCGATAAAGTGACATCAAGGTGACAATAAGATGACATGTGTCCACCAGAGCAAGATTGCGAGCAAGACTTATTGGCTGTAATGCGTGCCCCGATCGTTTTGCACTCAGTCGTGAAGAAAGGTCCAACGTTTAATCAATGCACAGTTTTAGCAAATATCATGGCTGGTCGTCGTGCAATCTCTGTCTAACTAACGACACTAGCCACACTAATTACGCTAACCACAATCAAATGACGGACATGGTTTCTTGGAACGAGGATCGAATTCGGTGTAGGATGAGTGCAGCGTCTTACATACAAATGCATAAGGCGGGCAATGAAAGTCCTTTATAGATGTCTGGAGCGAGCCAGCCATCGGGCGCCGCGTTGAACAAGTGGCAGAGTGGACAAGAAAAAATACGGAGTTGGACAGAAAGCTGCAAAATTAAATCCACGAATGATGCAATGATTTGGAGATGTTGCTGGTTTTCTGCCTTTCACAAGATTCCGAACTATTGTTTCTGTCAACGGCATCCATAACGGGGTAGTCACAGTACAGCCTGACTGCAGTCCGAAACGTGAGCACGTCTTTGAGCAAATATCACGTTCTGACGACATAGCTCTCTACACGTGCTGACCGAAAAGACGGCTGCCTAAAATGACACGTTCTGGGATATAGCCCAATCAACCGCAAAGGCTGGTGATCAATTTGACACACTAACCCCAACTTACTGAACTTAATCAAACGCAGCTGACTAAATGCAATTGAACACAGCCTACCTAATTCAGACCAACCCAACTCCACCAGAAATGCTTCCTTAACCTCCCAAACTTATATTTCGCTCTACAAGTACGTAACATTTTACTGTATGGAATGCAAGGTGGACCTGACTCAACAAAGTTGAAGGTAACCTGACTTATCCAAACCAACCGAAACCCCAACGGAAAAAAAACGTCTACAGCTATATTTTGCTTTAGTACCATGTAACATTTTGTTTTACCTAATGGCATGTGGGGAACGTTGGATACACTTGCTGAGCGCAAAATGACCATTGCAGTCGACGCGCCCGAAAACACCAATAAACAACAACAACGGTGGGTGCATTTTCAATATATCTATTGGCCCAACATGAATTGCAACTAAAGTGACCTAATCCTGACTGATACACGAGTTGTGACAGAGTTGGCTGTTTCGCAGAACATAATATTGAGTGAGGGCTGGGTTCCAGACTGAGCCTCATGGGTGTAGAATGCATCAACAAAGGCCTGCTACAGTTCAAGAATAAGTATGCGATTTGGATGTCCGTTACAAAGAACACCCGCATCCGACGGACCCAGCCTGCTACATCGTCTGAAAACGTCAGACCACGTCCGGCACAAGCCTTCACTTCGTCTTAAGTCAAAGTTCATTGTTAACGAATCAGTGAGCCCGAGTGCGACCACCCTGTGCAACAAGTCAGTTAACTTGAGTTGATTTGATTAAGGTCGAGTTTGAAGTCGATTTGACCGGATTCAAGATATCTTTTTGGACGTTATCGCGTTACACTGTACCTGAATATAACTGATAAAAAGTCTACTAGGTATTTGCATTTGAATTATTTGAATTTTCGGTCATACGTCCATTTCGTGCTCTCACCACTGGAAAAACTTCGGAGAAGCCACATGACGGGAAGTAATTTAACTCGAGCAAAAACACGACACTGCCAGTTGCCCATTGCTCAATCGCCACACTCCGACTCCGTTTTGGAGTAATAATGAAGCTAACTTTGATCAATGGGAAGGTAGCCAGCGTTTCCCCAAGCGAACAAAAAGAGGTGATTTCCTGGACTGTGATAATCAATTAAGCGTCTGACACGGAGAGATCTTGACGCTGAACAAGACCCTCGACGCGATGGTATCGACTTGTAACACTTGTAATTACTTATTCCTTGTTGTATCAGACAGTAACTAGGACAGACTAGGTAGCACAGAAGTTCTGGAGCCGTTGGTTGACTCGTGAGCAAGAGAATTGAGGTTTTACCGCTTTTGCCCAAGATACGTGCGACACTTGAAACGTTTGGAAGGTTTACCGAGGTGCGGGAATTGCTCAGAAATTGGTGCAAGGATAGTACGCCGCTTGAGAATGGTTTCAATAAGCAAATGCAATATAAATTGCGTTTGATCATCGAACCAGACTGCTTCCATTTGATCTCTCGAATTTCCGACACAAAGACACGCTCCGAGAAGCAGAGCAGCCTCCTCTCAAAAGTCTTGGGCTACGCCTACATTGCATTTTTTGACGTGTGCCATGGCTGAGCTCAGATACGCGATTGAAGTGTCTGTTACGAAGGACACCCGTGACCAACGAACCCAGCTTGGTCGTCTGAACGCGGGAGACGTCACGGAAACGCGACCGAACTCGGGCTCAGCCTCGCTGCGGGTCTTACCTGGGCGGCGACGGCCGCGACGAGCGTCGATATCACCAAACAGCACTTCATAGTGGACCTGGAACCAGACGGAGCGGCCGGTTAGCCCGCGCTTCTGGACTTCCGTGCTCACGGGTGAGGCGAGCGGGCGACTGCAACCGCTCACAGGCAGCTACCGGGGCGGACTGAGGCGATACGACGGCCGACTCGACTACGACAGCACTAGCACCAATCGCCGCTCGGGGAGGTCCGTCTGACCTGGGCAAGACGGCGATGTGTGAGCGTGCTGCGACGACGCGCCGGTATATGATCTACTTTCACTTTCGGCGGCGCGCGGCGGCGGTGGCGGACGCGGGCGGCCCTGCCCGGCGCCCGCCGGCGGACCGACCGCGCCTCGCCCGCACCCCCTGACCCATTTGGCCACGTGCTGACCTTTGGATGCGGCCGCGGCCGCAGGGCGACGGCGGGGGGGGGGGGGCGGTCACGCCGTGAGACATGGGTTTCCGAGTCACCGTCAAGTTCTGGCTGTCGGTCGGGGTCCAGGCGTGTCGAGAGGTGAGAGCCTGCCTCACACTTTCCGGTAAGTATGCCGATTTGTGGAGACCTTCAAGGCTGGCGATAGCCCTCCAAGGAGAGCCGGCTTTTCTGTGGGAATGGCCTCTATTCGTGCACATGCCCACCATAATGGGTGGTGCCATTGTCATGTAGCACCGCGGATGTTCTATCACACGGTTCGATCTCACGCACCGATGGCTGACCACTCTTGTCGATTAAACGCGTCAGTTAGTAACAGTAAAAAGCGCAGGCCTTCATACAACTAGCCACTGCTGGCATTGTGCTCCTTGTGATGACCCATGATGACTAATGCCACGTAATGAATCTCTGCGTACTTTGACTCCTTGGACTTTTACGGCAATATTCCGGCATAAAATCAGGCTAACACCGTGTCGAAAGGGGCATACCCTTTGATTCTGCGAAACTGGCCAGGAACTTCGAATTGGTGGCATAATGACTGCTGTTTTACGGCTGCCTGCAACATACCGGGAGCGACAAAAAGCAAATTGAGTATTGTCTTACGGATGGGAAGCTGTGCTGTCGCTGACATTGCCTTGATATCATGACCCGCCTTAACACGCGTTCGGGTGGGGCTCAATTTGGCCCCCTGAAGGTTGTTTCCAAATGATTCCCGAATGTCGCAGCGCAGTAACGCCAAACTATACATAGCTGAAGCCAATTCAAAAGCAAATACTTTGGTCCTAAGAAGTCAAATACAAGTTGCAAAATCACTGACCTTGCAGGTCAAAGTTAGGCCATGGCTGCTAGCGAAGGAATTCCTAGGGAACCGCTCAATCTGACGCGACAACAGTGTTAGACGAATCGGTATGCTCTGAGATGGTTCTTTTGACATCGCCTTTCCTTTAAAAAATAGAAGTCAGGATTACAATTAGTTTCATTGATCTTCGATTAGGCAAAATGGTGAGGCCGCCGCCATTTTTTACTGGATGTCTTGCTTTTGTGGAATAGTTTTTTACGCTCATTTTGAATCACCTGGTTACAGGGAGGTAACAAATGTAAATTGAATTCTTCCAGGTTCATGATAGGGCTCTGCCTTGACTTTGTTTTGTCTTATTTGAACAAAGGATGGTGATCTAGGGAACTATGCAAGTTTAAAAAAGTGAGTTCACACACATATATTTATTCTATGAATTTGGTGTGGCTGCTTTTTTAGTTCTTTTTTTTAGATTTCATGAGGTCAAACTGACGCCCAACTTACCGGCGTGGTATTCAACCGTCTACCCGGTCGCCTGATAGAAAATATTGCTATGCAACCAAGCGAACCTAGAAATGGGAAGAAGCGGATGGAGATAGCTGTTGGACAACCGCTTCTTGTCAGAATGGCCAACTCCCTTGGTGGGTGTAAGTTTGCTGACAACAACAGCCCGAGGTGTTGGCTCCAAATATGCAAGTAGCTTCATGAGAAAGGCTTCCTGGATTACCAGGCATATGATGTGGAGACTGAGCAGCGCTGATTGTCCGAATCTTCCGCGCCAGTGGGGTAGGTTTGGGCAGGGCGTAGGGTAAGTTCGGACAGTGTTTATCGGATTCAATCGAGACTGAAACAGTGTGCTGAAACAAATGCATTGCAACAACGGAAAACAGCTCCACCTAGCGTTCATAACTCTCTAACGACCCGGTACTTGCTCTATCGCATATTGATGAAGGTGACGAGGCTAACCAGCAATGACCTTGTGTTACCTCTCGAGAACAAATGGTCACAGGCTATGACCTAAAACAGCATCGGCAAACACATGTGAACACTGTCGCTTTCCTTAGGCCGAATGCGTGCTGGGACCTACAGAAAGCTTTGCTGAGTGATCATTATGGGAAATATGTTGACAGTAAAGCTATGGAAGACGACTACACTGAGTTTGACGGTCAGCAGGGGTCGAAGCAGCTCTCCTCTCATATGTCCTCTCATCGCCGTCGAAGATCGATCACGATGGTATTCGAAGTACATACTCGCCCGTATAAGGTGGGAAAGACCTTCCTGATCAGAAAGTCTTTCAAGTTTGCTTCACGGCTTGAAACATTTATCGGACGTACAACGCGCCAGTTGGTATAACGCCCTTCTGGCTGTAATAAACATCTATATTTTTAACGTGTAACGTCGTTAAAAAATCGCAATAGAAATTTCATAAGCGTAGAAGTCAGCTCATTATCACTTTTTTGACCGGGCTGCGCTGTCGCGGCAAATAATACGCGTCACTTATAGAGTGAAAGCTAGTTTTACGTAGAAAGTGGACCACGTGTTCACACAACATAAGACGAAAGTCGTACCTGCAAGCAAGACGTCTCGAGCTGCATCAATAGTTTGTCTTAGTGGGTTCCTAATCGCGAACTAAACAGCTTGCTCGAAAACCTCATCGCTCTCGGCTAATGGATACGTTATGCATTTGGCGTTTTGGCGTTTTGGGTCTTTGGCGTTTGATGACGCTTATGTCGGTGTATGTCGGTGTCGGGGCCGTATCCTACTAGGAGGGCCCGTGTGAAAACAGACGAGCTGCGGCCTGGGCGGATGGAACCGGATAATACAAGAAAAGACCAGATGGGACGGGACCAGACAGAACCAGGCGGTACCAGACGGGACCATGCATGACCGGACGCGATGAGACAGCATCGGACGTCACCGAACGGGTTCGAAGGGAACCGGCCGGCCAGAGCGGGACCGGACGAAACCGCATGGAACCGGGCGAAACAGGACGAGATCATTCGGGACTGGGCAAGGCATGACGCTACCGGACGGGACAGAACGGAGTGGGACCAAATCAGGTGAAACTGAACGCAGCCAGACGAATCCAAACGAAACTGGACGGAACAAGACAGAACCGGACGAAGCCTAACGGGACCTCCTCACTTTTCTCCTCCGCACTCACTCACTATGAGCTTATGCTAGATCATTCCAAGGTCTGTGTTGTGTCCACTTTACCATAAAAGCACTGTGTCCTCTGTGGCATGGTACATTTAACTATTTCGCATTTTCAAGCGTTAGGGCTAAGATGAACGAAAAAAACACTACGTCGCATGAGAGACCATGACTAAAATTATCGATTTTCTGCGTCAATAGTTTGCCGTTTGCTTATAGTTTATAGCTCCAGCTCTAGTTCAACTGAGCTAGAAATGGAGGGTGAGCTGTAGCGCCCCCCCCCCCCCCCCCCCCCTCCGGCATCTCCTAACTGAATAACAAACTTCTCCTCTGTGTTTCGCGTCACAAGTTCAGAGTGTTCATGCCGAGTTATGGACATTCAATTTAAGAGGAGGTATGGTTAAACGACGCTGCTGACTGTATAGTCAGTACTTTTTCAGTATTTCAAGCAACGTGCTATGATCACGAGTGTGACATCATCAGCATTCACTCATGTCTCGAGGACTTCCCGTCGGCTTCTGTCCCTCTTTTTGACGTTTAATTTCACCTAACTTGTCTTTCTCGGCTTTCATTTTTGTTTAGTTTTATTTCTGCCCATGTTTGATCTTAGAACTTCTTCCAGTTTGACCTTTTGTATGTAAACTTTTATCCCTGCCGACTTACCTTTTGTCTTCCAACTTTTTTATTCGAATTTGCTCCCAGTCGACTTTTATCCCTTTCGACTTTTTGTCCTTTGACTTTTTCCGTTTGCTTTTCATCTCTGTTGACTTTTATCTTGTTTGATGCTTTGCCACTGGGCCTTTTCTGAATTTCTTTAAACTTAGACATCTTGTATTCCAGTGGGCAGTAAAATTTCATCGTCATCAAGTTTTTATTTTTCGATTGTTTTTGTTCGACTTTTTCATTTGACTTTTCCATTCGACTTTTTGTTCGGGCACCCAAACATTACGTTGAAACCAACAGCACTTAAACCTTACTTGGAAACAATATCTTCAGAAGACTAAGGCGGCTTAGCAATATTTTGTTCTAGGCCACTCGGTAAGGCATACACGTGAATAAGTAACATCGATGGGTAAAGATGAGGCATGTGTATTCTATTGATAGAAGCCATTTTGCCGTTACGTGCTTCAATCTAAGTTATTGATTTTCCAATAACTCTTTGGAATGATGTGGTTGACGCTTATGAACTAGCAAACTATGAAATGCCCTATGTAATTTAAAGCAAAATTCTTACAAATGCAAAATTTCACAGATGACTTTCACATGACTTGACTGTGTTGTATTCACCTGGTTAAACTAGCAACTACTCATTGCTCAGGGATTCCGATATACGGTGTAGTTTGTATGATGCTTTCAAATATTTGGCTATGTAATGTAAATTGAGATCTCTACATATGCACGTTTAAGACAATGTCACAATAATTTCCGAAAATGTTTAAGTTTTACTTATGCACAGGACCTTTCTATGTACGTGGTTCATCGCATTTCCCCTGTTTTGCTGATATTGGCTCTATTTTTACACGTTACATTTTATCAGAAAAATGTGCTTGAGCAATTTGCCCTCCACCGCCTTCGGATCTCAGAGTGTACTGTGCCTTTTCCGCCGTGTAAGGGCTCGAACTAACATCTGAAACGCAAATTGTCTTCTAACATACAACATTTTCAAAACTTATATCGGGACCCATCCCAGGAGCGAAAGGTGAGGTAAAGCAGACCGTAGCGTTTACGTTTAGTGAATCTTAGCGACACGTTGCATGCAGTCATGGATTTCATCATGTCCGTAATCGCCCCTGGGTTTTGTATGGTCAGAATCCTAGCAACTCTTAAGCCACCGAGGTGCAAAATTCAATGACTTTTTAAAGGTTAATTTACTTGTGGT